TGTGTGTAAGCACGTGTGCATGTGCATATGTGTATGTATGTGTGTATGTGTGTGTGTGTGGGGGGGTGGTGTGATAGTCCACCCTTAACCTAGCAGGCAAAGATGCAGCAGAAAACCTCTTATTTTGTGTTTTTTCTTGTGCAATGCTGGGCATGGCCTTGCTTTCCTGGGAGCCCACATAGTTCTTGCTGTGTGTCACCCCAGGCGTGACCTTCCAGTGGCTTTGGCAGAAACAGTCACTTCCCAGTTTGGGGACATCTTTTTTGCACCTTTTGTTTTGGGGCCACATCCATTGGTGCTCGGGGCCTACTCCCAGCTCTGTTCTCAGGGTCCCTTCTTGTTGGAATATAGCTCCAAGCAATGTCACCCTACACCTTCTGGCGGTTCTAATGGGACCCTGAGGTGCTGGAATGAACCCGAATCCCCTGCATGCAAAGTCTGTGCTCAGCCCATTAAAAAGCATCTCACCGGCCCTTTTTAGCAGATTTCTTTTATGTACTGTAAGAGGAGAGACTGACCTGGATTTGATCCCTGGCACCATACACTGTCCCCTAACACTGCCAGGAGTGATCCTTGAGCACAGAGCCAGGAGTTAGTCCCGAGCAAGCCACCAGGTGTGGCCCCAAACCAAAGCCAAAAAGCAAAAAAAAAACCCCCAAAAAACAAAACCCAAAACCCATGACATATGTTTGCATAATAGACCTGACTGTTGAATAATAATACAGCAGGTAGGGTGCTTGCCTTGTGTGTGGTACCTCGTCTGCACCCATGCCACCCCAGCCCATCAGGGGTGATCCCTGAGTGATCCTTGAGCACACAGCCATGAGTAAGCCCCTAGAACTTTTGGGTATGGCCCTCCAAAGGAAACACGTTTCAAGTGTTCCCTGCACTTGCACGTGAAAGGTCAAAGAGGAAGATGAAAATGTCACCTAGCCTTAGTGTTTCCAGCTGGATCGTGGGTGTGGGCAACCCGGTTGGGACTGAATTTGTGAGGTTCAGAGCTTGGTGCTGAGGCTTGGGTGTGGGCAACTTGGGGTCTTGCACCTGCCCTGCTTGAACCCCAGCCGATGAGCGTCGGGCCTGGCACCGACCCTTCTTCTGGAGAGAACTCGCCTTGGGAGCAGTGACTCTAGAAAGGCTGGTCCCACATCGGTGGCCAAGTCATGTGCCCCTGTGGGGTCGCCCTGCAGTGCTGCCCAGGTTGCAGAATGCCGCCTGTGCTCTGAGCACCTCCGGCCATGTGGCAGCGAGTACAGGCCAGTGGTCGGGGTCTGACCACAGGTCTCGGCTTCGCACACACCAGTTGTCTTGGGGGGCCGGCCATGTTCGAGGCAAAGTAGCAGTTCTCCTACTGGGCATGCCAAGGGTCCATAGCACAGCGTGGAGTGTGGACCCCAGGAGAGGCCTTGGGCAGCCCCTGTGGACTCTCTGTGTGCCCAGGTCTGGCAGAGTGGGGTCTCTCAGGGTGGTCCGAGGGGAGGTGGGGAGCTGGGCTTCGGTTCCCACCCACCCTGCGGCAGCTGGACTCTCCCGTGTGAGGCCCAGGTGGCAGGGCTGGGCGTGCAGGTCTGGCATAGCGGCCCTCTGGCTTTGGCTCTCTGGTTCCCCGACTCACCACCCTCCGTTCTTGCCACGGGGCCTCTTGGCCCACGCTGTTCTCTCTGACCCTGGAACTGGCTAGTTTTCAAGATTCCTTAAGCTTCCCTGGGTGTTCCCTGACCACCAGGAACCCGCTCCCCTCCAAATAGAAGGTGGAACTGACCGCTGCCCTGGCTCCCTCCCTGGTGGCTAAGCCCGAGGGCAGCTGTCCCAGGACACCACACCAGTGGGGGCCACCCCCTGGCTGTCCAGGCTCAGGCCTGCCCTCTGGGTCCTGATCTGAGAGACACTGGAGTCGGCAGGCTCAGTTGGACCCACACTCAGGGGGTCAGGGCAGTTGGGGTGACCTTTCCAGAGGCCTGAGTGCAGTGACGATGGGCCCTGGTGGGTTGCTGGGAAGGGTTCCTGGGGCCCAGCCCTGCCAGGACTCAGTTTCCTCGTCTGTCAGATGATTGTGCAAAACCATACTTAGGCGCCAGAGAGATAAATTGGGGAGCGGGGGGATCCCTGACGTGTGGTCCTCCAAGCACCACCAAGAGTAATCCCAGAGCCCCACTGGGTGTGGCCCCAGGTCGCACCAGCCCAAACTCCAGCCCCCCACAGAGGCCTAGCCGGTCAGTTCCCGAGTTCCCCTCCTTCGTGTCCTGTCATGGGGGAGATTTGGGCAGTGGGCATTTGGATCCCCAATGAGAACAGGCCTGGGGGTGCACTGGGGGCTCTCTCCTAGGTATGGGGAGATGGGGGGGTCTGTGTGGGAACCGGGTGCTGGAGCAGGTAGGCCCTCCTGGCTCGTCCCTACCGTTCCGGGAGTTCCCAGGAGTTCCCCAGGTCACACTGAGGACGCAGTGGTGGCTCCTGGCTGGCCTGGCGCTGTCCATGAAGGTCCCCGGAGCCCACTCCTCACCAGCCTCTGGCCGGTGTTGTCTGTCCTTAGAATCTGGCCCCAGGGCGCCCCCTCCTGTCCCACCACTCCTGGGTCCCCTCCCCAGAGCCCAGGCTGCAGGCAGGGCCTGGGGTGTGTCGGCCTCTCTCCCTTGGGTCTTCCCTGGATGGTGGTGGTGGAGTGCTTCCTCCCTCGTCCAGAGCTGGCCGCAGGCCAGAAGGGCCCCCCAGATAGCCTCCTGCCTCGTCTCCAGACCTCCCTTGTGCTCAGGATCCAGATAGCTGCCTGCATCTCTGGGGGGTCCTTCCCCGGGTTGGAGCTGGGCTGGGCTCAGGGGCAGCCCCAGGCTGTCCCTCAGCTCTTTCCAAGAACAGACTGTGTGTGTAGGTGCACAGCTTGGTCTCACAACTGGCCGGCTGGGGTGCTCAGGAGACCCCTCCCCGCCTCCCATGCAGCCCTCTGCCTCTGAGGGCTTCCAGCGTCTGGCTGAGCGAAGGCCTCTCTGAGCTACTGCCGGAGACTCTCAACTAAGGTCAGTTCTCAGGGGCCAGAGCGATAGCACAGTGGTCGGGTGCCTGCTTGCCTTGCACGTGGCGGACCCAGTTTCCACCCCCATAGCCCCAGCTGGTCCCCCGAGCACCATCAGACCCTGAACAGTGTTGGGTGTGGTTCCAGATTAAAACCAAACCAAGTTCGTTCTCAGCTGGGAGAGGGTGAGGCCACTGTGCTCGAGTCGGGGGACACCCCTGGCCCATGTACGTGGTCCCCACGCTCGCTCGGCAGACACACTCACAGGTGGCAGCTCTCCGGCCCAGATGCTATGCCACGGGTAACTTGTCCCTTCTCCCCGCTTCCTGAGTCCTGTGCTGTCCACCTCTCCCTGGCCCGCCCACCTGGGGGCCTCCCTGTGCGACCCCCAGCCAGCGTTGCCTCTTCTCTTCCTTTGCCTCACGCCTCTGGGCTACTGCCAGCTTGGTGCTTGGGTGGGGTTGCTCCTGGGGTGCTGGGGGACTTTGGCGTCCAGGGAGGCTCAGGGTTGTGGCTCACGAAACAGAACAAATGACCAAGCCTTGCTCCAGACCCTCCCCAGCTCTCCGCTCTGTGGCTGTGGTGCTCACCAGGGCCGTAGCTTTTGTTGCCAGGCTCACGTCTCCTGGGCTGTGGTGTGCCAGGGATCGCACACAGCAGAACTGCCCAGACCATGCTTGGCGCAGAGAGTGAGTCCGGGGCCCTAACTCGTGGCTCCACTGAGCCAGCTTGTGTCCCTGTTCAGTTGCTTCAGTGAGACGCATATTCACTAGTGCCCAGTGGGTCCTGTGACTGGACTCAGCTACCCACATCCACAGGCAGTTGGCCAGCCCTCAGAACATGCAAGAAACACATTCAGGGACTGGAGCAATAGTTCAGTGGGTAGGGTGTTCGCCTTGCCTAGGACTGACCTGGGTTCTACCACCAGCATCCCTGCCAGGAGTGGGCCCTGAGCACCAGTGGGTGTGGCCCCCAATCCAAAAGGAAATGGGTAAGGCGGGGACCATAGCTATCCATCCTCGCACCCGAGGTCCAGAGCACAAAGCGTGAAAAAGGGCAGGCGTTCAGTGAGAGGATAAACATACTGAATGAAAGGAGTCAGACAAGTTGGTGAGATGTGGCCTAGTTGGTGCGATATGGACTGTTGGTGAGATGTGGCATGTTGGTGAGATGTGGCATATTGGTGGGATGTGGCATGTTGGTGGGATGTGGACTGTTGGTAAAATGTGAGCAGTGGGTGAGATGTGGGAAGTTAGTGAGATGTGGCATGTTGGTGAGATGTGGGCAGTGGGTGAGATGTGGTATGTTGGGATGTGGGCAGTGGGTGAGATGTGGCATGTTGGTGGGATGTGGCATGTTAATGAGATGTGGGCACGAAGGCTCAGGATTGAAGGCACCTGGGCTGTCGGGTGGTTGGGGATGGGGTGAATTAGGATCAGACTGGATTCAAATTCGACAGTTAGAATTACATTTAAAAAAGATTGAGTCAACATGATAACCTCTTAGCGCCTGTATTGCAAACCATAATGCCCAAAAGTAGAGAGAGAGTATGGGGAATTGTGTCTGCCACGGGGGGAAGGGGAGAGGGTGGGAAACGGGGGTGGGGTATACCGGGGATATTGGTGGTGGGGAACGTGCACTGGTGGAGGGATGGGGTTTGATCATTGTGTGATTATAACCCAAACAGGAAAGCTTGTGACTATCTCACGGTGGTTCAATAAAATTAAAAAAGAAAAAAAAGATTGAGTCTTGGGACCGGAGAGATAGTACAGCAGGTTAGGCTCTTGCCTTGCATGTGGCTGGTCCAGTCTAATCCCTGTTCCGTGACCCCAGCAGGATCGATCCTGTGTGCAGAGCCGGGAGGAGCTCTGAGCACTATCCGCGTGGCTCACGAAACAGAACAAATGACCAAGCCTTGGCCTCTGAGGTCTTTCTGGGCCTCCCCCCACCGCCCTCCTCTCTCATGTGCTCTCCCCTCCTTCCCCTGCAGTGCCGGCTTGGAGATGGGGTCCCAGGTGTCGGTGGACCCCGGAGCTCAGTGCGTAGTGATCGTGGGCGGGGGCTTCGGCGGGATCGCGGCGGCCAGCCAGCTGCAGGCCCTGAACATCCCCTTCATGCTGGTGGACGTGAAAGAGTGCTTCCATCACAATGTGGGCGCCCTCCGCGCCTCCGTGGAGAGTGGTGAGGGCTCTTCTCTCTCCTGGGGGTCTGGGACCAGGTGCCTGAAGCCCTCCCTCCCCCCCACCCCCCCGAGACGGCTCACAGGCCTTAAGAATTGCTGGAGCCTCTGCGAGGGCCCGAGGCCCGCGTGGGCACTGGGACCGGGGGCAGGGTGGACTCCAGCCCTCCTGCTGGCCTGGGCAGCCCGTGGACGCACAGCTCGGGGAAGGGGTGACAGCCGCCTTCTTGCCGTGACTCCTCTGTGTCCTGTCTCCAGGGTTTGCCAAGAAGACGTTCATTTCCTACTCGGCGGCCTTCAAGGAGAGCTTCCGGCAGGGCCTGGTGGTCAAAATAGACCTGAAAAACCAGACGGTGCTGCTGGAGAGTGGCGAGGTGAGTGGACCGGGGGCCTGCAGAGTGGCGGTACCCGGGCCCACAGCTCACTGCTCATGTGCCAGGGTGGGGGCCTGCAGGGGGGAGGCGTCCTGTGCCAGGCCCCACCCTCGGGGGTGGCAGGGGCTTTCCCGGGCTGTCCTCATCCATCAGGTCCGGCCTTGCGCCACGATCTCACGTGATGGCCCGGCCAGTGAGGGCGGACACCACCTCGTTCTGCTCACACGTTCTGGGCTCGTCCTTCCTTCGATCCCCCCTCCTCCGCCCCCTTCAGTTTTGTGTGTGTGTCAGGGCGGAGTTCTTCTGAACGCCAGAGTTTAGGCTCTAAGCTAACTGCACCCGTGCGGGAATCCCACTTGCTCCCCCCGGCACCCGTCTGTTCCCAGGCTGCAGGGGGATCTCCCCCAGGTCTGTGGGACTGGCTCTGGCGGGAGGGAGAACCTGCCGCCTTCAGTGGTTCCTGGGTCCCCGTGTCACCCCTGCGCCCTGTCCGGACGGCTGCTGGTTCCCCTTCAGCCCGCTTCCCGCCCGCGTCCCGCTTCCAGGCATTGCCCTTCTCGCACCTGATCTTGGCCACGGGCAGCTCGGGCCCCTTCCCCGGCAAGTTCAGCAAAGTCTGCAGCCTGCAGGCGGCCGTGGAGGCCTACGAGGACATGGTGAGGCAGGTGAGCTGTGGGAGAGGGCCAGCTGCTGCCGGGGGCTGGGGGCCGGGCGCCGGGAGGCGTGGGACCTTCTCGGGTCCGTCCCAGGGGGCCCCCTGCCCGCCTCTTCTGGAGCCACCCCTCACCGGGCGAGGAGGCATGTTCGGACCCCGATTTGGGAAGGATTCTCGAGGGCCTGTAGCCCCCACGGCCCCGGGGGCACTGAGGGCACCCGCCTTTGCTCCCCAGGTCCAGCGCGCCCAGTTCATCACGGTGGTAGGAGGCGGCTCTGCGGGCGTGGAGATGGCGGCTGAGATCAAGACCGAGTACCCCGACAAGGAGGTGGGCGCAGCCGTCCCCGCCACGGGAGTCGGGGTGGGGCGGCCTGTCGGGGATGCAGAGCGGGAGACTCTCGCCTTCTGGGTGGGGCCAGGCCTGCGCTGGCCATCGGGGAACTTGCTCCTGCTGGACGGAGCCCCACACTGTGCCTTCCTCCCGCTGTGAGGGTCTGGTGGCCTCTGGGCTGGCCCTGGCTGGGCCGGACGCCGGGGTTGGTCCTGTCCGGGGTAAGTAGCGGCTGTTCTAGCGCCTCGGCCCCTCACGTTCTGGCGTTGGGCATCCGCGCTGTCTGACGAGGGGCACGGAGAGAGTGTCACCCCCCTGGCCAGCGGAGAGGTTGGCAGAGGGCAGAGGACTTTTGCTTCCCGTGTCCTCGGGCTCAGCTTCTCCCTCCGGCCCTGCTAGCCCTCCAGAGGCGCCGATGGTTCTTCCCTCCAGGAGCGGCTGGGCGGTGTTCAGAGGGAACATCGCTATGGGACCCGTTTAATTACGCGGCTCTGCCCTAGCAAATTGTTGGGCGTTCTGATTGACGCAAAAGCGTAGGAAGTCTGGTTTATGGGGTGGAGATCCTGGGCTCTCAGTGTCTCCCCGGGGATTGCTGTCAGGACCTCAGCCCAGTTCGCCTGGTCCCACAGCCAGGCTCTGGCTGTCTTGTGGCCTGCCGCCAGCTTCCTGAGCTCACCCAGAGAGCAAGCGGACAGGCCTGGAGGCGGCGTCCTTAGGACCACAACTCGCAGCCTGTCGCAGGGTTGGGTTCTAAGATGACCAGGGGCTTGTGTACGAACTATGACCCCGAGTGCCCAGCAATACTGAAAAATCACCTCCACGTGGGTTGGGGATGGAGTGCTGGGGGTCGGTGCTTGCCTGGCTCGTGGCTGACCCTGGTCTGATCCCTGGCGCCGTATATCATCCCCAGAGCACTGCCAGCAGTGATCCCTGAGCACAGAACTAGGAGCAGCCACTGAGCACCATTAAGTATGGCCCTAAAACCAAAAAAAAAAAAAAAAAAAGAGAAAAGAAAAAAAAGTTCTGACTCTGCCTTGGATGCAGCAGGGCCTGCGAAGACGGAGTGCCTTCGTCATCTGGCCTGGGGACAGGCGAAAGTGGCCCAAGTCTAGGAGCTCTGCTTGCTGTGGCCTTCACCGGCTTCTTCCCTGGGTCCTCGGTTTCCCTCCCTGTCGTAGGGTCTCGGGGCAGAGGTGGGGCAGCAGCAAATGTGTTCTTCAGCAGGAATCTGACGGGCCCATGCTCTGGCCTGTCACTGTTCATCCCCCAGGTGACACTCATTCATTCCAAAGTGGCCCTCGCCAACAGAGAGCTCCTGCCCTCCGTCCGGCAGGAAGTGAAGGAGATCCTGGTCCGGAAAGGCGTGCAGCTGCTGTTGAGTACGTGTGCCGGGGCCCCCACCACCCCCTGGCCCCTCCCTGTGCCCAGTGCGGCTGTGTCCCACCCCGACCCCCTCTGCCCTTGACACGGCAGTGCCCAGCACGTCTGGGTTCCCACGTCGGCCCCCGCTATGCTGACTGGCACTTTGGACAGAGTGCCGATGACTTTAGGGAGTTACTGAATCACTTGCCCGGCAGAGAGAGCGCCCAGCAGGCTTCACGTGCCGGGGGCCTGGGTTCCACCCTGGCACCCTGAGCATGGCCAGGGGCAGCCCCATGACAAGAGGTGGGTGTGGCCCCCAAGCCAGGCTAGGCTCCCCCTGACTGGTCAGGGAGGGGAGGCCAACAATTAGGGAAATGCACGGGATTCCTCTAGAAGCGTCCCCTGGGACTCCTTGGGGAACTCAGCCCCGCTCCCAGCCATGCCTTGTCTCCTGCCCTTGGAGGCCACTGGGCGCATCCCGGGAGCAGGGGGCCAGAGGGAAGGTGGGGGCGAGGGTGCTTGGCTGCTGGGGTATCTACCACTCTCGGTGGGCTTGGGCCGGGTCCGTGCCCGGAGTGGTGCCCTCGGAGCCCCTGCATGGCCTCCCTCGCCAGGTGAGCGGGTGAGCAACCTGGAGGAGGTGCCGGTCAATGAGTACCGAGAGTACATCAAGGTGCTGACGGACAAAGGCACAGAGGTGGCCAGCAACCTGGTGATCGTCTGCAACGGGATCAAGATCAACAGCCAGGCCTACCGCAGCGCGCTGGGTGAGTGGGCAGCGCCCCTCAGGCCTTCCCCCGAGTGTGCCCCACCCCGTCCCCTCCTCCATCCTGCAGCTCATCCCATCTCTTCTGGTGGAAGGTGATGCCAGCCTTTACCTGTTTCCTTATTTTTGGTGTTTGGGCCTCACCTGGTGGTGATTAGAGGTTACTCCTGGCTTCGTGCTCAGGGCTCACTCCTGGCGGGGCTCCGGGGAGTGCTGGGGAGTGAACCCGGCTCAGGCACACGAGGCGAGAGCCCTCCTGCCCTGCACTCTCTCTGCACAGCCCCGGTGCTGACCTTGAGAGGCAGGGCTGAGTCACCCCAGCAAGGCTCCCGCCCCCCTTCCCATCCCCCATATTACCCACATGGACAAGAATGTCCCAAGACTTGTAACTTCATCCCGGTGAGTTAACCCTTAGAGTCCGGCATGGCACGAAGGAGCCTGGCTCTCCTGGTCCCTTCCAAGCGGGGACAGCCACCCTGCCTTTGCTGGCAGTGCTCAGGGCCAGGAGTGGGTTCAAGGAGGGAATGGTGGTGGTGGTGGGAGGGGCACGGGGGCAGCTGTGCCTTGGTTCCCCTCGGGTCCTGACTGCACCGTGGGTTCCTTGGCAGAGGGCCAGCTGGCCAGCAACGGGGCGGTGAGAGTGAATGAGTTCCTCCAGGTGGAGGGTCACACCAACATCTACGCCATCGGTGACTGCAGCAACCTCAAGGAGCCCAAGATGGCATACCATGCCGGCCTGCACGCCAGCATCGCCGTGACCAACATCGTCAACTCCACGAAGCAGCGGCCCCTCAAGGCCTACAAGCCAGGTTGGGCCCCCGCGCCACATGGTGGAGGGGAGTGGGGCGGTGAACCTCTGGGGAAGACACTGCGGTGGGGGAGGGAGCCACCCCTGGCAGTGCTCAGGGCGCTTCCTGGCTCCGGAGTGGCCCCTGACACTGGGCATATGTGGTGAGGGATGGAACCAGGGTTGACCTTCCCTGCTGCCCTGTCTCTCCAGGCCTTGACCCTCTGGGGACTGTAACAGGGCTGACAGCTAGAAAACCCCCACGAAGCTGAAAGCAGGAACATTCCCCTAGAACTCCTTAAAAAGAAGCTGGGGGGGCTGGAGCAATAGCATGGGGGGAGGGCGTTTGCCTTGCACGTGGCTGACCCGGGTTCGATTCCCAGCATCCCATAGGGTCCCCCGAGTACTGCCAGGGGTGATTCCTGAGTGCAGAACCAGGAGTAACCCCTGTGCATCGCTGGGTGTGACCCAAAAAGGGGGAAAAAAAGCTGGGGACCCCAGGGAGTCTCAGAGGGCGGGGCACACGCTCTGCGTACTGCGTTCAGTCCCTGGCACTGTGGGTGCCGTCCCCAAATGTTAAGGGACTCCCCGCCTTCCTGGGACTTCCCCTGCTGCCTGGGCTCAGCCCTGGAGCGGCCGTAGCACTCCCGTTGGTTCGCGTCTCCGCCCCGCAGGAGCCCTGACCTTCCTCCTGTCCATGGGAAGAAACGACGGTGTGGGCCAGATCAGCGGCTTCTACGTGGGCCGCCTCATGGTCCGGCTGGCCAAGAGCCGGGACCTGTTCGTCGGCACCAGCTGGAAGACCATGAAGCAGTCCCCGCCCTGACGGGGGACGCCACTCGGGACCTCTGACAAGTGCCCAGAGGCAAAAGCTTATTTTCTGGAATAAGAGGACAAAGATCTACTGACCAACCTCCGTGAAGTGAAAGAGGAGGCCCAGTCGGCTCTACCCCAGCTCGTTTGGAATGGACATGTGTGTGTACACATGTGGATGTGTGTGCGTGCGTGTATGTGTGCAGGTGTTTGTTTGCATATGTGTAGGTATGTGTGTGTTCGTGTGTGTGGGTTTGTGTGCGTGTGTTCATGTAGGTGTTTGTGTGTGCATGTATGTTTTTGTGGGTGTGCGTGTGTGTGCATGTGTTTTGTGTATGCGTGTGTTGATGTATGTGTTTTTGTGTGTGTGTTCATGTGTGCGTGTGTGTTGTGTGCGTTTGTGTTGTTTGTGTGCATGTGTTTTGTGTATGCGTGTGTTGATGTATGTGTTTTCGTGTGTGTGTTCGTGTGTGCATGTGTGTTGTGTGCGTTTGTGTTTGTGTGCATGTGTTTTGTGTATGCGTGTGTTGATGTATGTGTTTTCGTGTGTGTGTTCGTGTGTGCATGTGCGTTTGTGTTGTGTTTGTGTGTGTGTTGTATGTGTGCATGTGTGTTGTGTGTGCATGTGTGTTGTGTGTGCATGTGTGTTGTGTGTGCATGTGTGTTGTGTGTGTGCATGTGTTGTGTGGTGTGGTGTGTGTGTGTGTGTGTGTGTGTGTGGTGTATAGTAGAGCTCTGGGAGCTGTGGAGCACAGGGTCTCCCTGAGGCTGGCATCCTTTCTGCTGGAGTCGGTGGGAGAGGCCTCCACTCCGACCTCTCCTGTCCCGTGGTGGGTGGTGGGGGCACCAGGAGCCTGGGCCGCCAGGCTGCCCATGGGCACCTCCTTTGAGGCTCTGTTTGGTTTCCGTGACTCTTTCTCGCCATTTTGGCTGTTAGAGGACGTTGCCCTCGTGGTTGGCTCATCCAGCCGAGCGAGTTTTCCCACTATTAACAGGGGTTACCCCCGAAGTGGTGCCGCCGCTGGTGGCATCTATGCGGAGGGGCGTAGAAGGGGGGTGAGCGGGTGTGGAGGGGGGTGGTGGTGGTGGTGGTGGGGCTCGGCGGGTGAGCCTGTGTCCCAGGTCCATCTGCAAGTGACCAACTCCGGAGCGAGTGGGGGTCAGGGAGGGGGTCTTGTGTTTCCAGCCACCTGCAATGTCGCTTGGCCTGGAGGTGCTCCAGGTGCAGCCCCTGGCCACCTCTCCGAGATGGAACTGACTTCCTGTCCGAGGGGCTTGTGAGGGGGCCTGCGGCGACGTCCCTGCAGCAGTGGTAGATGCTGAGTCCACCTGCCGTACCCAGGCCCCCGCACAATGGTCTCTGGGTGCGGACACCCGCCTTCTCAGCCGTCCCACCCAGCCCCGTGTGAGCTGTGGGTCTGAGGCCACGCCAGCCGCCTCTACCTGCAGGGGCCTTGCCGGGGCCCCTGTGGAAGGCTCCCCAGGAAGCAAACCTGGTGCCTGTAAACCGAAGCCTTTTATGTGTGTGTGTGGGGGGGTGGGGGTGGGGAATGGTTGGGGGAGGGGGGCTGTTTGGCTTTTCAGCCGCTCTATAGAGAACATTCTAGAAGTATCCCACCCTGGGGAACACGGCTTTCCAAGTTGAGGACAATGTGACAATAAAAGAGTACGTCCTAAGAAAGACACCGCATCTTTTTTTTTTCCTTTTTCTTTAAAAAAAAAACACAAACCCAAACCAACCAACCAACAACGAAAAAGCCCAAAGCCAAACATTTTCGGGAGCAGTTACAGACGTTACTGGGCCGGGAGAGGAGGGGCACTAAAGCAGGAAAGAAGTGCCCCGAGCTGCCTCCAGATTTTCTTCTCCCCAACACCGAGTGTCGACAGCCCACACCACCCAAGCCACTGGGCTTGCCCTCCACCCTGGCAAGAAAGATTTTTTTAAAAGACCTGGTGTGTGTGTGTAAAAGTCAAGGCTATAAATCTAAAAGAAGTCCTCTTGAAAAAGGAAAGAAAACCCAGCAAAATTTCTAAAACAACGGGAAGAAAGACAGGGAAAGAAGCCCCGGGGTGTGGGGAGGTGGCACATCTGGTTAGTGACAAAGGCCACACCCGGGGGGGCGGGGTCTGCCCGCCAGCACCCTCGGCTCCTTGAAAGGACGACACACCCCCGCTCGCACCCGCCTGCGCCAGGGTTCCTGTCGGCTACTTGGCGTCCAGCTTGGCCATCTCCTGCACGTAGATGCCAATGCTCTCGCTGTCGAAGAGCAGGAAGTAGACGTTCTTCAGCGAGGACGCGCTCGAGTCGTCGAAGTGGGCCGAGATGGCTCGTAGGGTCACCTGCGCTGCCGTCTGTTTGGGGAAGCAGTTTCTGTGTCCAAGGGAAAGAGGAGGTGAGTAGGGTCATTTGGGTCGGCGGCTACAGGAGTTTGGACCTCGGGCCGGTGCCTTGTCCTTCCTCCTGGACACTCACGCTGGTCACTGTGCGTGGCTGTGCTGACCTGATCTGACTCGAAGGGACAGGTAGGAAGGGCAGGCCCAGGGAACGCTGCCCACTTCATGGGAGCTGGGGGTTGCAGCTGAGGTCAAAGGACACTGCAAGGTGTGCCTGAATTGAGGTCTCAGTCCAGCCGAGCTGTCTTTAGAGACGCTTCTGAGAGGGAGAACATATAGCAGGGAAGGCCCACATGGCTGTCCTGGGTTCGACTCGGCACCACATGGGGTCCTCTGAACCCCACCAGGGGTGACCCCTGAGCACCACTGGTGTAGGCCCCAAACCAAATACGTAAATAGAGAAATAAGCCTGTTGATTTCAGAGACGGACACAGCGGATGTGGCCGAGCACACGTGAGGTCCTGAGTTCGACCCCCAGCACTGCTGGGTCTGCCCCTCGTAACAAAAATCGAAACCTGGATTCACAAACGGATCTTGCAAGAGACCAGCATGCTGCAGCGATGCCTCCCCACCCTGCGCCAGGCTGATTTCAGTGGGTAACTTGCAGCGGGGGCAGGGGTGTCCCCCCACTTGTCCCAAATGAACCCTGGCAGTCGCCAACCTCCAGAACCCAATCACAGCCATGCTTGTGGCTGACCACAGCCTCATCCCGAGCCTCCCACGCATGAGAATGAATCTGCTGAAAAACCCGGGCACGTGGGACTAGTGACTGGAATCTCCAGGCTTGCTTGGAGTTGGGGGTGGGCGACACCCCCCCCCCCCCATCTCCCTGCCCTTCTGGGTCCTTGGCAGTCACACCCATGAACTGCCTCTGGGCACCATTCAAGCACATTAATGATCATAATTCAGAGACTCACAAATGAATCTCTGACGAGAGTAGCACGCTGAGATGCCTCTGGACCCCAAATATGAAATTTTTTAGAATTCCAGGGGCACGCAGCCACTTCTGCAGCCGCATGACATCTCGTACTCTTCATAACAAGCAAAACGAAATTATTTAGCATCTGCCTGTGGGGCAGGCTTCAGTGATGGTGGAAAAATTCGAAATTATGGTGGTAGGAAGGTGGGATTACATGGATTACATGGTGGGATTGGTGTTGAACTACTGAATGTAATCAATGATTGTGAACAACTTTATGAAAATAATATTAAAAAATTTTAAAAAATCAAACCCCTACAAACTCAGCATTTTAAAATATCTAGTCTTCAAAGCAGGTCTCCTTCGAGGCTGGAGCGATAGCACAGCGGGTAGGGCATTTGCCTTACACGTGGCCCACCTGGGTTCGATCCCCAGCATCCCATATGGTCCCCTGAGCACCGCCAGGAGGAACTCCTGAGTGCATGAGCCAGGAGTAACCCCTGTGCATCAATGGGTGTGACCCAAAAAGCAAAAAAAAAAACCAAAAAAAAAAAAACCCAAAAAAAACAGCAGGTCTCCTTCAGTGCCACAAACTGGCGTACAGGGAGGACAAGCCGTCACAAAAGGCAACGCCGTGGGCTCGGAAGCACACTCCACCATCACTTTCCAATGGCCCCCACTGACCTGAGTGGACATACCAGTGAAATGCCAACATCGGGGACTCTGGGCAGGGCCCCAGTACCCGGGAAGGTTGGCGGAGCTGTTCACTGGCCTGGCCCCAGTGCCTGGGAACTGTCAGAGTGGCCTCTGGGGTCAACCCCGGCCCTGGGAGGGCTGCTCTGGGGCCCTGCTAAGACGCCTTCTCACTCGCCCCTGGTGTCTCAGCATCACGGCGCGAGGCTCCAGCTTGCTGAGGCCTGTTTCGGGCTGATCTATGCGCCCCTCCTCTGCCTCCCCCTGCCCCAGTTAGACAGATGAGCTGCGAGCTCTCGAAGCTCCCCTAGTTTTAAAATGTCTTTTTCTTCTGGCTTTGGGGTCACGACCGGCGGTGCTCGGGGATCACTCCTGCTCGGCGGACCCTTTGGGGTGCCAGGGATCGAACCTGAGCCAACCATATGCCAGGCAAAGTGCCCTACACTCTTGTCCCGTTGCTCCAACCCCCTGTGTGCAGCTTGAAGGCTGGGAAGGGCTTTCTTGCTCTGTGGCCAGGAGGCTCCCTGGGTCAGTCTCTGGAGGGGTGCAGGACTGAGTGAGGGGGGCCGAATGGCAGGAGCCCCCAGTTTACTTACCTGCCACTGGGGAAGGGGGGAAATGCCACGGACTTGAGCTTCTTGTCCTCGGCGGCTGACAGGCAGTTCTTGATGGTCTCTTCGAGCTGCTCTTCGCACTTGTCAGAGCCCCACTGAGGGATGTGACAGTGGATGACAAACTTGGCCGCAAGTCCGTTGGACTGGCTGACGGCAGCTGGCACGCGAGAGAGAAACACTGCAGGTCATTTCCGGTGGCTCCTCCTGAACCCCGAGGCCCTCTGCCAGGCAGGGGGACCAAGCAGACAGGGCGGGGCAGTGGTCACTGCCCCTGAGTCAGCGGGGACTGCGACTCACGGCGGCAGGAGCGCTGGGTGCTGCCGTGGCCAGGTGGCGGCTGTCCCCTCCCGGACCTGGCCAGCGCGTCCCTGCAGACAGAGGAGCCTAAACAGTGGCTACCTCGGAGTCACCTCTGGGGGTGGTGTGAGGCCCAGGACTGACTCCCCACTACCCGCATCCCTGGAACCCGGCGCCCAAGGACTTACCCTTTCATGGCAACAGAGCCCCTGCCCATGCCCACAAGGTAAGGGGAGTGTCTGGGAGAGGGCTGGGGCCTGACGGGAGCCACCGTAGGTGAGGGAGTGGAGGGGGGAACAAAGACAGAAGGCCGTGACAGTGGAGAGAGGCGGCCAAGGAAGGTCTCAGGGCCTACCCAGAGGGGGTCGGGCAGCCCTGCCAACTTCAGTCTCGAGGCTCCTTGTGGATCTCCAGAATTAAGAGGGAGGTGTCCGGCTTGCTTGAAGCCACTAAGTGTGGGATAATTTGGTACCCGCCGTAGGAAATGAACGTACAGGCGTGTAGACATTTTTGTTTTGTTTTTGGACCATACCCGGCAGTGCTCAGGGCTGACTCTGTGCACAGGAATCCTGGCTGGCAGTCCTTGGGGCACCGTGTGGGGCGTGGGGCTCAAACTGGAGTCGGCTGAGGGCAAGGCACGTGCCGTACTTGCTGCACTGTCTCCCCGTCCCTGTGGAGTCTCTGGCGATGCTCAGGGATTACTCCTGGCTCCACACTCGGGGATTGCTTCTGCAGTCTCGAGGGACCATATGGGATGACGGGAATTGGGCCTTGGCATTGGCTGCGTGCAAAGCAAGCGCCCTGCCTGCCGTACTATCACTCCAGCCCGGGAGCGTCATTTTCGAACGAGGAGAATGTGCTCCGTGGCGGTGCCAAGTCACACACTTCACTGAGGAAGCTCCGGCAGCCGCCGCCCCTCCTTGGTTGGATTTGGAGGGCGGCCCATGAGGACACCCTGGAAAACCTTCCCATGGCAACCGGGCAGCTGGGAACGGAAAGCTCCCTGGCAGGCTGGCCATGACTCTAATGTTCTGGTGCCGGGAAGCACCGGGGACACGTTGATGTGGGGGCTGGGATGCTGGCACCTGGCAGAAGCACCTATAGATATTCTATGGGGGTGGGGGGGGGTCCTGGTGAGTCTCTTTCACCTGCAAACACCTGAACTCCCGGAGCGCAGTGCTGCTGCAGGAGACTTCTAGAACTTCTAGACTCTCTCGGGTGGGATGATAGCCAAGGGGACTCTGCAGGGTCCCTTCCTCCTTCTGGGAGGCTGTCCCTGCTAATTCTCGCTCCCAGTGACACCGTGGTATCCCTTCTGCCCCAGGGCCCTGAAGTAGCCTCTCTTCCTCCTGTCCACCCGGGCCTGGTGCTCGTGCCTGCTTCAGCCCTGGTGTGAGCCAGGCATCTACACTACTATTTCCTTGTCAGCTTTCATTGACCACTTAGCAGTGGCAGGTGCCCGTGGACCGACCAGGTACTCTTGGTCCAGCCTGTACCCACATCCTTGGTGCCCAATCCCTTCGTCCGCGTTTTGTGCTGGGACCCCAGGCCATTTGCACAGCACAGCCCCTCTGCTGGCTTCATTTCTGTCACCAGGGCCATTTCCATCCCATTCAGCTGTGGGCTGAAGTCAGACACGTCTCCTGGCTGGAGGTTGGGGCTGGCCTGAGTCCCGTTAGAAGCTGCCTGGGCCTCTGTGTCAACTGAGGACACTCTCCTAGTGGGTCACCTCCCACTGACTGTCCTGCCGGAGGTTTGGGGCTCCACTGGGCTCGCCTGCACATGTGTGGGAGCATCCGCTTGTGGTCCAGCTTCCTTAGGGTGGGCACTTCCCCCCTCGGTCCCCAATGCCAAGGTGGAGGGGCATTCTTGCTGCCCTTCCTGCCCGCTGGGTCATGTCTGGCCCTTCTACTGAGTGGGTCCGATTAGCCAGCACCTTGGCAATCTAGTCTCTCTTGATGACATATATTTATATACATAATAAGGATCGATTTTTTTTTTTTTGTTTATCTGTGTTTGGGCCACACTCAGCAAGGCTCAGGGGCTACTCCTGACTCTGCACTCAGGAATTATTCCTGAGAGTGCCCGGGAGACCGTAGAGGACGCTGGGGATCAAACCCGGGTCGGCCACGTGCAAGGCAAGCACCCTCCCCACTGTATTCTCGCGATGGCCCCTATAATAAAGGTCTGGGGGCTGGAGTGATAGCACAGCGGGTAGGGCGTTTGCCTTGCACGCGGCCGACCCGGGTTCGATTCCCAGCATCTCATATGGTCCCCCGAGCACCGCCAGGAGTGATTCCTGAGTGAAGAGCCAGGGGGAACCCCTGTGCATTGCCAGGTGTGACCCCCCCCCCCAAAAAAAGGTCTGTTTGATGATTGGCGGTGATTAGGAATGAAATACAGCAGAAACCTGGTGAGCTGTCTCCTCTTTTCCACATTCCCTCCTACCCCATCTTCCAAGCGAGCGGACACTGATTGGCCTGAGACCAGGAATCCCAAGACCCACCGGTTTCTGGGCTCCTGGTGAGTTCCCGCCCCCGCCCCCCACCTTCTGTTTCCTCTGGCGAGGGCCTCCCAGCTCTTTCAGCAGAGCTGGAAGAGGCTGGTGCATGCATGCCTGTACCTGCGGGCCTTCCGCCCTCTCCCCGTCCCGACAGAGCGACTGTGTGGGCCTGGTGGCCAACGGGCCCTCCCTGCTTCCTTCCACTTGCAGGCTGCTCTGTGCATCCGTCAGCCCTCACACAGCCGTCCCTTCCTGCTGGGCTGCCTTTCAAGTTTTCCTGGACGTCAGAAATGTCCCTACTCTGGGTCAGGATGGATCACACCCACTATATCCTATCCCTTCCTGCTCTCTGAACTCTGTCTGTACCTACACCGGTCAGCTTAATTTCAAAGGAGAGGTGCCACCTCTCAAGGCTGCATGAGGGGACTGGCAGGGACGTGGCAAACGTGGCAACTGTCAGCCCGGGGCCTGCAGTTCCATCTGGTGATGACAGTTCCCGATTCGAACTTGCAGAGGTGCCTGCCTCATCCACAGAGGGTCCCAGCACTGCCCGCGGACCCAGGCTTCCCACTGTCCACTGGCCCTGACCAGCTGCAGCCATCTCATCTCCGTCTGGCACTTCCCCAACGCCCCCAGAGAGAAGGTGTGCTCCACTAACGGATCTGCCTGTTTCCCCAGACGTCAGTGCTTGAGGACAGATGGGATTTGACGAGCCTTTGGAGCCCCGACTCTGACTCAGCGGTCACTAGAGTTGGTGGGTGCGGTTGGCCTCACTATCCAGAGTGACCCATATCCCTGCAAACGGGTTCAAAGGAAAACGGCGCAGGGCCGGAAGAGTGACTGTACAGCGGGCAGGGCACTCACCCAGCACGTGCCTAGCCTCAGGCTTGATCCCCAGAACCTCATCGGCCCCTTGAATCCCACTAGGAGTGATCCCTGAGAGCAGAGGCAGGAGGAAGCCCTGAGCACCGCTGGGTATGGCCCCCAAACCAAACCCAAAGCCCAACAGATTGTGCACAAGGGTTCAGAGAAGCACCACTCACAACAGTCAGAGTCTTGAGTGGATAAAGGCAACGCAAGGTGATCTGGCCGCAATGGGGGTGGAAGCAGGGGCGCACAGGTTGCAACGGGGTGGGGGGCGGTGGGGGGAATGACTCTCGGAGTGGAAGAAGCCGGAACAAGAGGTCAGACACATGCGATGTCATGCCGTTCATGCGCCACGTCTGGACCGGGTAAACTCCTGGAGCTAGAAGGCACACTGCAGGGAGTGAGGGGGGCAGCGGGGAGGCTGGCACGGAACATGCCTTTAATGGGGTTTCCACCGAGGGCGATAAGAATGCTCTGGAAGTGGACAGTAGTGATGTGAGGGCCGTGCACCACGGGGGGCACCTCTGATGTGATTTCTGATGCAAGTTGACTTGAGTGAACCGGACACTTCACACAGTTCCCAAAGTGGAGGAAACGGCCTGGCCAGGTGATCTGTGTCCCAGAGAGGCGGCGGCAGCTGTCCACTTGTCCTGGCCTGTTCTGTCCGGCACCCCAAAGGCCAAGGCGTGTCATTCCACAGAGTGAGGCCGAGGCCCGTCCCACGCTTACCTTCAGCAACTTCCAAAGGGCCTTGGGATTTGCGAAGCTCCTTGACGGTTTCCAAGAACTCCTTTCCCCCTGCCTTTTCCAAGGCCTTCCCTGTGGAGAGTGAGGGGAGGCCATTGCAGCGGTTCTTCCAAGGTCATCAATGAACCGAGTGACAGTGTTAGGGGCGGGAGGAAAAAAGGCAGGAAAGTGGGACTCGGGGGCTGGGGCGACAGTGTGGCATTATTTTGTTGTTGTTGTTTTAAAATATTTTAGATTTATTTGTTTTTTTGGGCGACACCCAGCCATGCTCAGGAGTTACCCCTGACTGCACTCAGGAACTACTCCTGGTGGGTTCAGTGCACCATATGGGGTGCCAGGGCTCGAACCCGAGTCAGCCACATGCAAGGCAGGCACCCTCCCCACTGTACTACCACTGCAGTCCCAGCCCCAGGGTGGCGGTTTTGGATGGTACCAATGATTTTTGCTTTTTGAAGTAAAACAGATTTTATTTGGAGGTTTTTAGGAAGGGGACCGGGGGACAGAAAGTGAGAGAGAGAAATGCACTCAAGAGAGAACACGGACTTCTCCAAGGGAGGAGAGAGACCCTACACACATTCCAGCATTAGGTGTGAAAGCATATCAAAGTCCACATCTCAAGAGGGGAGATGCGGGTGACACATGTACTCGGCCACATGGGCAACAGCAGCACATGCACCGGGCAGCATGTCTGTGTCTACCAATGAATTCTGAACTCAGGTCTCATTCATTTCATCAAGCCAGTGACTAATTGATATGAGAAACAGAGGAAAAAAACGGGTTTGATAACACCAGGAGAGACGATCGATTAATATAACAGGAAACCCAATCAGAAAAATGGCCTTGCTTCTTCAACAAGTCAGCTGGAAAACAAAATGAATCAAGGCTGTGTGCTGCGTGTGTGTGTGTGTGTGTGTGTGTGTGTGTGTGTGTGTGTGCAGTAGGTGTGAGAGAGGGAATTATTAAATCTATGAATACTTACAGCACAGCGGTAGGGCATTTGCCTTGCAAGCGGCCGGCCCGGCCGACCTGGGTTCAATTCCTCCACCCCTCTCGGAGAGCCTAGCAAGCTACCACGAGTATCTCGTCCACACGGCAAAGTCTCACAATGGAGAGGTTACTGGGCCTGCTCGAGCAAATCGGTGAACAACGGGAGGACAGTGCTATAGTGCTATTAAAATCATCACTGTAGCACTGCCCTCCTGTTGTTCGATTTGCTCCAGAGGGCACCAGTCACGTCTCCATTGTGAGACTTGTTGTTATCATTTTGGGCATATCGAATATGCCACGGGGAGCTTGTCAGGCTCTGCCGTGTGTCCGGGATACTCTCAGTAGCTTGCCGGGCTGTCCGAGAGGGACGGAGGAATCGAACCCGGGTCAGCCATGTGCAAGGCAAACACCCTACCCGTTGAGCTATTGCTCTAGCTCTCACTTACTAAAATTATAAGCCGTAATAACTTTATCTATAACCAAGTGCAGTGTGGACTTATTTGGATACTGAATGGAAAAAAAAAAGAGGAAGAATAAATGAGGATAAGATTAAGGCTGAAGAGGTTAGATTTAGAGCACTGGGGCCAGAGTGATAGCACAGCAGGTACGACACTTGTCTTGCACACGGCTGACCTGAGCTCAATCCCCGGTGCCCCATATGGTCCCCAGAGCCCCCGCCAAGAGTGATCTCTGAGTGCAGAGCTAGGAGTAAGCCCCGAACATCACCAAGTGTGGCCCACAAACAAGCAAAATCCCCTAAAGCTTAAGTCACTTACTGTAAACACAGCGGACCTTGGTCCAAATCTCAGGTGCCATCTATGGTCTCCCGAGCACCACTAGGACTACTTCCGAGCACTGATCTAGGAAGAGCCCCCAAGCATCGCTGTTTATGGCTCCCCCCCCCCCACCAAAGAACAGACAGTGAATTTAGAATCTGAGCACGGAGGCAGGATTTTCCTGGCTCTGCACTCAAGAATTACTCCTGGCAGTGCTCAGAGGACCAGATGGGATGTCAGGGATCGAACCCAGGTCGGTCGCGTGCGGGGCAGCTGCCCTCCCTGCTGTACCATCTCTCCAGCCCCTGACAGAATATCTGAGAAGCGAATTCTTTTCCTGCTGTTAGGGATGGCGCCTGGAGCCCTCAGCTGCAAGGCAAGTGTTCTACCACTGAGGTACATCCCTGGCTCGGCTGATGTTGTCAGTTGTCATAATGGTATCGTAGCTACACTGTTCAAGGAAAACACCCCTATTGTTCTGAACTATTCACGGATAAAATGATACGATGCCTCAGTGTGTGAGCAGAGCTGAGCGGACTTGGCGATGGGTTGATGGTGATTATTACCGGGTGCGCGTGGCACGTCCTTTGATCCTGCAACGACACTAAGGCCTGAACTCTACTTGTAATAACAGAGAATGTCTTGGAAAGCACAAAGCAGGGCTTGATTTGCAGAGGTTGACTGCTTGGAGTGACAGAGTGGAGGACAGACTCTCGGGAGGGGAGGGACTGCTTCTCACAACAAAGCAATAAGAAAAATGACAACACTGTGGCCGAGACTCATGAACTGGACGCCGTGCTCAGCTCCGTCCCTCTGTCATCTTCACAGCACCCCTGAGAGAAACACACTGGGATTCTCCTCACTCACAGCGGAGGCAACGGAGCTTCAGAAACCTGTTAAAGTCACACCGCTAGGAGGTAATGAAGTCTAGGACGCAGACCCACACTCCAGAAACTCCACTGCCGGGATCTGAGGATCTGAGCTCGAGTTTTTGCTCTGAGACCAGCATTTTCTCTGTGACTATAACCCTGACGCCCAAAGAGAAATGGTGCTGCTGTTTTCCTGAGATGAAGTGTCAAGTGCCAGTAGAGATGACATCTGAGGGCCGGAGCGATAGCACAGTGGGTAAGGGCATTTGCCTTGCACACGGCCGACCCGGGTTCAATTCCCAGAATTCCATATGGTCCCCCAAGTACCCCCAGGAGTAATTCCTGAGCGCAGAGCCAGAAGTAACCCCCGTGCATTGCCGAGTGTGACCCAAGAACCATAAAAAAAAATGACATCGGCACTTGTATGTTTACTGCAGCACTGTTCACAATAGCCAGAATCTGGAAACAACCCAAGTGCCTAAAAACAGACGAAAAAACTTTGTACAAATTTTGTACAAAGATGTACAAAGAAATTTTGGTACATCTACGTAGTGGAATACTATGCAGCCATTAGGAAAGATGAAGTCAGGAAATCTGCTTTAAGTGGATGGACACGGAGAGTAACATGCTAAGTGAAATGAGTCAGAAAGAGAGGGACAGACATCGAATGACTGCACTCATTTGTGGAATGGAAAATAACATTAACATGAGACTAACACCCAAGGACAGTAGAGGCAAGAGCCAGGAAGATTGCTCCATGGTTGGAAGCCTCCCTCACGAGCTGGGGGAGAAGGGAATTGAGAAGGGATCATTACGTCAGTGATGGTTTGAGGGATTGCTCAGGATGGGAGATGTGTGCTGAAGGTAGATAAAGGACCAAATACTATGGCCTCTCAGTATCTTATTGCAAATCATAATGCCCCAAAGTAGAGCGAGAGTAAGAAGGAAATTGTCTGCCATAGAGGAAGGGGGAGGGACGGCTTAGGTGGGGGATACTGGGGACATTGGTGGTAGAAACTATATGCCGGTAGTGGGATAGGTGTTCGATCATTGTGTGACTGAAACTCAAACATGAAAGCATTTTTGTAACTGTGTCTCACGGTGATTCAATTAAAAAAAAAAAAGTCAAGTGCCAGCCCAGTGCAGCTCATGTACGGAAAGCTGGGACACACTTCAAAGTCGAGCTGAAGAGCCACAAAGGAGAGCGTGTCCCCAGAGGACAGCGAGGGTTGGGGCCGGATTCGAGGAGAGGGTTTTCTGTCAATTCACTGTTGGCGGCACTTTCGTCTGGCTCAGATTCGATGGAAAACAACACGGAGATGTCTCCAAAACACAGAACTAGAACTGCCACATGACCCAGCCATACCATTCTCAGCATCCATTCCAAGCACAAAAACATTAATTCGAAAGGATCTGTGTACCCCCAAGTTCATTGTAGCACCTAGGTTATGGCCAAGACATGGAAACAACCCAAATGCCCAACTCTGGGTGAATGGATCAAGAAGTTGTGTGATATAGACACAAAATGAAATACTGTGCAGCTCAAAGAAAGAATAGAATCAAGCAAATTGCCACGACACAGATGGAACATGAGGCTCTCGTGCTGAGCGAGGCAGGTCAGAAGGAAAGGGAAAGATGCCAAATGATCTTTCATGGGTGGGACTCGAAGATGCAGAGCCCGGCAGCAACAAAGAACTAAAGGCAAGAGAACAGAAGAAACGATTCGCAGTACTGAGTTTGGGGAGTAGGGAGGGGGAAGGCAGAGCCTTGGGGTCGTTGGGGGAGGAAGGGGGTACACTGGCGAGGGGTATAGTGTTGGAATTAGGTAACATGAAACCATAAATAACAGAACTGTGTATCACAGAACCTCAGTCAATTAAATGAAGGAGGAGGAGGAGGGGGAGGAGGAGGAGGAGAGAAGAAGAAGAAGAAGAAGAAGAAGAAGAAGAAGAAGAAGAAGAAGAAGAAGAAGAAGAAGAAGAAGAAGAAGAAGAAGAAGAAGAAGAAGAGGAAGAAGAGGAAGACGAAGAAGAGGAGGAGGAGGAGAAGGAGGAGGAGGAGAAGGAGAAGAAGGAGAAGGAGAAGGAGGAGAAGGAGAAGGAGAAGGAGAAGGAGAAGGAGAAGAAGCAGAAGCAGAAGCAGAAGCAGAAGCAGATGCAGCAGCGCCCTCTGCTCTGACTCCCAGGGCTTATATATTTTTCCCAGCAATAAAGTTCTCTGAGATAATGGGGGGAAGGTTAGTGAGCCAGCAGAGCACCCTAGGGTGCTGCCACCCCGGGGCTCAGCTACAAGTAATGTCTGCACGTGGTCTCCCTGCGCTGTTCTTGACATTGAGGCTTCTGACATCTATAAATGCAGTATTTTCACCCCAAATATCTCTAGCAAAGTTCATGGCAGCATCAGTCGGTGTAGTCCAAATGGGAAGCTGCCCAACTTCACTGGGGGCAGAACGCAATAACAAATCGTGGCCTATTTGTACAGGGGTACGGGAAGGATAATGAATGAGCCCCAACTCCAACTCAGCAGCATGGGAGGATTTCAGAAAGACGGAGCTAAGCCGAAGTTGCTGGAGAGAAAAGACAATCTCATTGACCTGACACCTGAAGTAGCTGAATGGCTCTGTGCAGTTCCAAGCCCCGAGAGTGGTTACCTTGGAACACACAGTGATGGAAAAGGGGAAGCAAGTGAATTCTGGGGTGCTGGTAAGTTCTACCCTCACGATCAAATTCACCAAACTGAACACTAATGACCTACAATGCTTCATTAAAGTTTAAGACGCGCATGTTGAGAACATTGGAGAGGCAGGAAAGCAGGCAGGGTGCTTGTGCTGCATGTGGCCCACCTGGGGTTCAACCCCAGCATCCCACATGGTCCCTGAGCATCGCCAGGAGTGAGCCCTGAGCACAGAACCAGAAGTAAGCCCTGCACACTGCTGGGTGTGGCCCCCCAATAAACAAACAGGGACCTTACCGATGTCTTCCTTGAGGTCGATTTCGGCTGTGGTGGGGTGTACAATCCCCTCCACTCTCATGGAGCCAATATGGCTGATGTCGCTCTGGGTCAGGGACAGCTGCAATAGGAAGGAACGTTGGAGAAGGTGAGAAAGTTGAAATCCGACAACACACAACCTCCCTCGCTCTTATGTCAATGTAAGAGGCCGCGGAGCCACGGGGCCACACCGCTGTTCATCAGGAGAGATGGGCAGTCCCCAATGGCACCCATCACTTTGGCCTCTCGGCTTCCCCCTTTTCCTGGGGGAGACTTGGGAAGTCCCCACTTTTCCGTGCTTCTTCTAACTTCACTTCAATAAAGTTTCACACTAATGTCAGATTGCTCACATCTGGCTTCCAGCTATGATTAACTGACTGTTTCCTCACGCATCTTATTTCAGCTCCAGTTGACTGGGCAGATAAATAGTCTCTTCTGCAACCTTTCTGCTCATGGGAGTGAGTTATTTGCATGTCTGCCTGGCACCCAACGACTGTTCAAATGTATGGCCCTGTTTATTTTCTTTCTGTGATCTGCAGAGGCAAGCAGACCAAATGAGTGGCAAATAATTCATCTCAAACACCAGGAAGATTGGGGAAACACATATTTCTGTTTCCTCTCTTTGAGAAATTGCACCGAGCCATGTGAGGTGGTCCTCCTAAAGGCTGCGTGAGAAATTAAGCTTTGGAGTTTTGGTGGGAATAAAGGGAGCATAGGGGAAGTCCAGCAAAACCGCAGGTGCCACCCTTTCCACTCACCAGCCAGTTTCTCTATGCCTACTTTTGACAGATCAATGTCAGGATTAATAATACTCGGCATTAAAGAGCTGGTTTGTTCCCACACTGCAACACTGCCATCATCCCGTAGTTTACAAATAAGTAATTCAAGACAAGAGTGAAAGTTAGTTACAGGGATGCAGGAGGCATCATTGCTTGTAAACAGTAGATTATAAAAATGCAGTTGTGTTTGACTACAGCACATTACAATTCTCTTATTACCTTCTGCCCCAGAACAAGGCTCTTCGAAGACAGAATGGTGAATCCATCCCCTGGCCCGTCTTCAGAGGTGGAGTTGGAAGTGCCTTCTTTATCACTGTCCTTTGGTTTGGACTGTTGGCAGAAATCAGGAGGACAGATGGGATAAAATCCAGTAAAACAGATTCTGAAATAAAGCTCCAAAAGAGAGCAACATATGCCCTACCCAAGAGTGAATCTGCTCTATAATCACGTTCTAAATTTCAGAATTCCTGGAGTGTGCAGCCGCATTTGTGGCCGCGCAACCCTTCATAATCTAGCCCACTGCTGTACCAAAAGTAGAGAACACTTTTGTTTGGGTTTAACATACATGCTTGCAATCTCTTATACAAAATCCTAGTGACTTCGTTAAGCTCTTCTGTATCGATCCAGAACTTGGATATGAAAGGAAAGGGCTGGGGCTGACGTTCTGCTGTTCTGAATGGAGGAAAATAAAGGGCAGAAGTTTGAGAGAAAGGAAAACAGGAGCTCCCCAGAGATTGTGAAGGGGCCTCACACATGCCTGTTGTCCTCCCAGAAATCTGGACACAGTTTCGTTATTCCTGCTCCTTTCTTTCTTTCTTTCTTTCTTTCTTTCTTTCTTTCTTTCTTTCTTTCCTTCCTTCCTTCCTTCCTTCCTTTCTTTCTTTCTTTCTTTCTTTCTTTCTTTCTTTCTTTCTTATTTTTGGGCTGCACCCAGCAACGTTCAGTGGCTGCTCTTTGTTTTATGCTCATGAGTTACTCAGGGTGATGCTTGGGGGAACCATAGTTGGCGCTGGAGAGTTGAACTGGGGTCCGCCACACGCAAGGCAAGAGCCTTAGCCCCTGCACTGGCTTTCTGGCTCTATCCTGTTCTTTTCAATGTCTGCAGAATGAGCAGGCTCATTTTCAGCCTTCTCCCTAAGATTTCCCTGCGAAAGGTAGCAGTGGAATGAACTCCTTTCCCCCTAAGATGTTGGATCACCCTACCAGTGCTCAGGAGCTATTTCTGATCCAGTGCTCAGGGGTCACTCCTAGCAGCGCTGAGGATATGAGACGCAAAGCCAAGGATTCAACCTGGTCCTGCACACAAAGCTGGACCATACGAAGCTAGATATCCGGCCATCTGAGTTATCTCTCTGGTCTCTTAGATAGTCTGGTGTATTTGCATGGAGGGAAAATGTACAAATTCGACACCATCCAGCAGCAATATCTGCCCCCAGAGAAATGCCTGTGTGCACTGCTCGGGGACACCGAGCACTTACATCACGGCCAATGCCATGATGAACTGAATTCGTAACCGACTTGGAACTCATTGGGATTCGAAGTTAAACAGCCACAGGTGGCTGGTGGTTGCACTACTGGGTGGCAGATGAAAGTATTATTCCACAAACGGCATCTGTGAGCTACTTGTGACTTGGCACGTCAGGCTCTCCGGCCACCCAGCTTCCGTGGGTTCAACCCAGGCCATGGAATGAGACCAGGCACCACGGAGGCCAGGAGAGAGATGCAGAGGGAGCTCCTGTCTCGTTTCGCACTTGGGACTACGGTGGAGATCTGGAACCAGGACAACCGCCTGTGCTCTGGGTCTGGAAACCTCTGGTCTCGCCCTCCCTCACCCTTCTCCCGCCCATTCCTCCCAGTGTCCACCCAGAGCATGTGTCCTTCAGCGCCGCGCCCCCATCTCTCAGGTTCCATGAAAATCACTGGCTCACCTTCTGGGACGTCCGTGGTTTGGCAGCCTTGGATTTCTTGCCTCCCTTCTTGCCCGATGTGGCCTTCCTCCCTCTTTTCTCTGGAGGAGGGGAGAGGATGGTTTCCGACTTGCCTTTGGTCCCTCGCTTTTTGGCCAGCAGTTCGGGGTGAATCCTGGGCAGGACACCCCCACTGGCAATGGTCACTCCTTTGAGCAGCTGCAGAGAGAAAATGTTTGAGCCGAGACAGCCTGTCGCTGGGGCTGGGCGCAGTTCTCACTGCGGGCAGAGGATGGGGTGAGCCTGGTCTTGGCTTTCCCAGTGGGCTGGCATACTCTGCAGTCTGGGCTTTCCTGTTTCACTGGCAGGGAGGGCCACAGCGTCCCATGATCTTGTACCAAAAGGTAAATTAAAACGAAAGGGAGGCACCTGAAGCCTCTGGCATATAAATGGCTCATCTTCACAGCATCACGACTAATCTCAGGAGACACAGGGCCAAAGACTCATCCCGGTTCTATAGTTCCTGGGGTGCGTGGCCACACAGCTGTGTGGCACCTTATATTCACAATACTGACAGCCCAGTAGGAGCAGAGTAGATTAGATGGGAAAGTGGAACAGAAGCCCACTAAGCTCAACATCAAAAACAATAACACAGAAGGCTCAGCTAGCACCTAACAACTCAGCGAATCCTCAGACAATAACTTTAATAACCCCTCTGTGAGATACGACAATTTTCACAAACTTTGTTTTACTGAACTATTTTTTTTTGGGGGGTCACACCCGGCGATGCACAGGGGTTACTCCTGGCTCATGCACTCAGGAATTACTCCTGGCAGTGCTCGGGGGACCATATGGGATGCTGGGAATCGAACTCGGGTCGGCTGTGTGCAAGGCAAACGCCCTACCCGCTGTGCTATTGCTCCAGCCCCATCTGAAGTATTTTTGGATGATTCTATTTGTCACTTTGTTGTAACAAAGCAATATAAAATAATTTTGCGCCTGCTAAGGGGGCAGGCTTAGGGAGGGGGTGGGAAACTGGGGACAATGATGGAGGGAAGGTCATACTGGTGGTGGGATTGTTGCTGGAACATTTAGTGCCCCAAACAACTCTGTTATGAACGAGTTTGTAAATCAGGGTGTATAAATAAAGTTGGTGGGGGGGGGGAATAAAATTAAAGAGAGATAGAGGCTGACAACCAGCCATACTGACCCAGGACTCAGGAATTCTAGACATAACAGAGGATAAAAAGCTTCATTTGTGGAGAGATAGCACAGCGGTAGGGCGTTCGCCTTACAAGCGGCCAACAAGGCCGACCCAGGTTCGATTCCTCCGCCCCTCTCGGAGAGCCCGGCAAGCTACCGAGAGTATTCGATATGCCAGACACAGTAACAACCAAGTCTCCAATGGAGACGTTACTGGGCCCGCTCGAGCAAATCGACGATCAACGGGAGGGCCTTTACTTTTACTTTACTTGTGGGTGGCACAGCTTGATAAAACGCGGTTCAGAGGTCACTGCTAGCACTAGACCTACAGAACACCCTCTTCTGATCATGTATTCTATCACCCAAATCTTTGACCATGCATATCCCAAATTGATCCACTTTTATTTTGTAAACAGCTGCCTTTCACTAAGATACACTTCAAACATTCTAACTGTTGCACACAGTGGGGTACACCTAGGCAGGCCCAAAGTTACGTCTGTAATAAGGTACAGGAACCAAGAAGAGTCTAGAAACACTTAGAGCAAAATGTTAGTTATTATACATTGATTGGCGCTAACAGCAACAAGCGAAAAAGAGTTTGTATTGCTTTAAATGTTTTCCCTCAGAGTTTATTTCTTATTGCCATTTTGGAAGTTACCAGTTGATGATGGATTAGAAATCTACAGACTCTTCACCAAAAACAGCTTAAGAGTGAGATGAGAAATAAAAGAAGTAAAAATTATTGTATCTTTCACTTTGTGTATCCCGAGGGGCATCCACTCCTCTTCAGAAATACTTCTGACATGGCCGAAAGGCACATGAAAAAATGCTCTACATCACTAATCATTAGGGAGATGTAAATCAAAGCATAATTTTTTGTTATGTTATCATATGGAGATATCATATCATGAGATATCATCTCACACCACAGAGACAGGCACATATCCAAAAGAATAAGAACAACCAGTGCTGGTGCGGATGCGGGGAGAAAGGGACTCTGTTTCTTTGTTGGTGGGAATGTCGACTGGTCTAGACTTTTTGGAAAACAATATGGACATTCCTCAAAAAAGTAGAAATCGCGCTCCCATTTGACCCAGCAATACCACTTCTGGGAATATGTCCTGGGGTTCCCCAAACAGCAGAAACACCATCTGCACTTCTATCTTCATTGCAGCACTATTTATAGTAGCCAGAACTTGGGAACAACCCAAGTTCCTGAGAACAGATGACTGGATACAGAAACTAGGGTACATCTACACAATGGAATAGTACGCAGCTATTAGGAAAAATGAAGTCATGAAATTCGCTCATAGAGGAACATGGAGAGTATTATGCTGGCTGAAATGAGTCTGAAGGAGAGGGACGGATATAGAATAACTGCATTCATTTGTGGGTTACTCCTGGCTCTGGCTCTGCTCTCAGGAATTACTCCTGGCGGTGTCAGGGAGACCTTTTGGGATGTTAGGAACTGAACTTGGGTTGGCCGCGTGCAAGGTAAATACCCTACCTGCTGTATTGCTCTGGCCCTCCCACATAGGGTTCTGGGGATCAAATCCAGGTCAGCCAGTTGTAAGGCAAATGCCCTACCCATTGTATTACCACTCTAGCCCCATATAAAAAATATTATGTGTTTCCTTATGCTATGAATGCCAGGAGTGAGGTAGGGATTTCTTTTTATTTTCATTGCTAGTGTGTACTTCTACACACCACTCATTAATTTTCTGGGACATTTAAATTATTACTTTGATTATTATTATTTGATTTTGAGGCCATACCTGAAAGTACTCGGGGATGACTCCTGGCTCTATGCACAGGGGTTAATCCTGGAGTTGCTTGAGGGAATCAGGGATTGAACTGGGGTTGGCTGCATGCCAAGCAAGCACCTTAGCCCTTGTACTAACTCTCTGGCCCTGAGCCCCTCTGTAGGTCACACGCTGTCTATGTTGTCACCTATTTCTGAATGCCTTGGGTCACAGTTTCTCATTGCATCACTTATAGTAAAAAAGAGATGGAAAAGGAAATGTTAATATATGAGGCAGGACTCTACCCTCATCAGAATTAATACATAACTTACAGTAAATAAGATACAGAAAGGGTCAATGCTAATATAGTAAGCGGAACTGGACCCTTATCAGAACTACTTATCACACAGTTTGGGAAAACTATGAGAAAGACACCAGTCTGTATCTTCCACAGAGCTCTTTTTTGAGGGGTTCGGGGTGGGTTGAGGGTGATGCTCTCATGAGAGCATCTCATGGTGTGGTACCCTCCTGGCTCTGCACTCAGGAATCAACTCCTGGCAATGCCTGGGAGACCATATGGGATGCTGGGGATCGAACCCGGGTTGGCTGTGTGCAAGGTAGGTGCCCTCCCTGCTGTACTATGGTTCTGGCCCCGACAAAGACCGTCTTTAAGGAGGAAACGTCTGCCCACACCCACGTTCCATAACAAAATCTGTTGCAGAAGCAATCTGATTTCGAATATCGATGGTTTGGCTAGCCGAATCATTCTTGTGTGCAGTTTGGGTGGACATGCGATGTGACCAGGACACAGCCACGCGGCAGGGAAGATCCGTGGTCAGTCACAGTCGAATGTGCCACGGTGGGTCTGGCGGCCCGTGCTGCGGCTCATCTTCGAATCTCGGGCATACCTGATTCAGCTCTTCGTCATTGGCCACTGCTAGCAGGATGTGTCGCGGTGCTATCCGGGCCTTCTTGTTGTCCCTTGCGGCATTCCCGGCCAACTCGAGAATTTCCGCTGAAATTATAAGGAGAAGTAAGTAGACAATTATACAATGGGGTCTGGGTTTTTTTTAAATGTTTTTTTTTTAATTGATGGTCCTTAAGTTTGATTGCTTTTATTCATTTATGAAGTTTGATTGCTTTTATTCATTTATGAAGTTTGATTGCTTTCATTCATTTATGAAGTTTGATTGCTTTTATTCATTTATGATTCATCAGACAACACTGAGAGCATGGGAGAAAACACATGTGTGACTGTGTGTGTGTGTTGTGGGGACTTTTTTGCTGATACAATGGTATAAATATTTATTTATTTATTTATTTTTGCCTTTTGGGTCACACCCGGCGATGCAGAGGGGTTACTCCTGCCTCTGCACTCAGGAGTTACTCCTGGCGGTGCTCAGGGGACCATATGGGATGTTCGGATTTGAGGCAAACGCCCTACCCGCTGTGCTCTCTCTCCAGCCCCTACAATGGTATAAATATTAAGCTCCAAAGTTAACAGATGATCCATGTGAATCAATGTAATTTCAGATAAAGCAACACATGAAAATGCCATCATTTATGAGTCTACAGCAATAAAAAATGGGCATGAGTACGCCGTATAAACTAAGCAAATATAATTAGCAAAAAATTAGAATAAAATAGACATTAGCATGAAATATTTGTGTGATGTTTCCTGAATGAAAAGTGCTAGTTCACTGCATGTTCACCCAGACAGTGTCTTTTCGGGTTATTAAGCAATGCACGTTGACTTTACCAACAATTCATTTATATCGTTACCATGTTTTCTGCACCAGAGATGAATGTGCCTGGACACACTTCTTCAGATCCTGGAGAGAGCATCTGAAATTAATGTTATTTTAGATACTCTGGTCTAGTGCATTCATGCTGGTAATCAACTTTAATTTTCTCTCTTTGTTCTTGGTGTGGCTGGGGGGCTTCCCAGTATTCAGGAGGCCCAGGGTCCCCCCTGCAATTTCCACTAACTTGGCAGCAGTTTGAGGCAGAGGCTTGAGGGTGCTGCTTGGGCCCTTCGTGCCAGGGACCAGCTGGGCCACCCTGGGGGTGCTTTTTTTAATTTATTTTTTATTTTTTTATTTTTAAATTTTATTGAATCACCGTGAGACAGTTACAAGCTTTCATGTTTGGGTTGCAATCACACAATGATCAAACACCCATCCCTCCACCAGTGCACATTCCCTACCACCAATATCCCCGGTATAACCCCCCTTTCCCACCCTGCCTCAGCCTCCATGGCAGACAATATTCCCCATAATCTCTCTGTACTTTTGGGCATTATGGCTTACAATACAGACACTGAGAGGTTAGCATGTTTGGTCTTTTATCTACTTCCTGCACATATACCCTGGTGGTGCTTGAAGGGGTCTCCAGGGCCACACCCATAGGTGTCTGGGAGCCTCCCTGCCTGCTTCCCACTTGCTCAGGGTGCTGGGAATTGAACTTGGGTCGGGCACATGCCCACCACTAACTGCTGTCTTAGCCCCTGGCCCACCCTCCCTATTTTTGGAGCCACACCTGGCTGTGCTCAGGGCTTACTCCTGGCTTTGTACCTGGAGGGCTAGGGGACCATCCGGGGTGCTGAGGCTCAAATCTGGGTCTGTTATATGCAAGGCAAGCACCCTGTCGACTGTCCTATCACTCTGGCTCCCTCCTTAAAAAAAAAGTGGGCTTGGGCGCGACACCCAGTGGTGTTCAGGGTTTACTCCTGGCTTTGTACTCAGGGATCACTCCTGGTGGGTTCGGGGGATCATATGAGGTGCTGGGGAACGAACCTGGGTTGGCCATGGGCAAGGCAAGAGCTCTACCTGCTGTACTATGGCTCCGGCCCCCTGGCCTTAGGACTCAACCTCTGATTATGATAAGGCAGCCCCCCACCTCCCACACCTCTCCCCACCGCACAGGCTTCCAAAGCTCCTCTGACTTCACTCCCCAGCATACCCCTGCTGGCATGTTTGTGTTTCTCCTGGTCCTCGACCCATGCTGAATCCTCTATTCTGCTGTACCTCTCAAGCATGACCTAAAGTAGAATCCCAGTCAACACTATGTCATGAATTTTGAAGGTTACTTCTTTTTTATGTGTGTGTGTGTGTGTGGGGGGGGGGGGTGTTTCACAGCCTGTGTACCCAAGGGCTATTCCTGACTCTGTTGGAGGTATGTGTGTGCTGGGCCTTTGCACGCAAAGCATATGCTCAGCCCTCAAAGTTCTCTCTCTGGAACACAGGGGATTGCCCTGCCACAGAGACGGGGGGGATGGGGGGATTGGGGTGGGAGGGATATTATCCATGGTGGTGGAAAATGGGCACTGGTGGAGGGATGGGTATCTGATCATTGTATAATTGAAACCAAAGCACAAAAAATTGTAAATCTACAACTTTAAAAAAAAATAAAATAAAATAAAGGGGAAAAAAAAAAAGTTCTCTCTCTGACTCTGGAAAGTCATTTCAAGGGCGACAGGAGCCTTTCACATTTGGAACCCTCTTTCTCCAAATAAAACCAATCGATGCAAAAAAAAAAAACAAACAGCAACTGCTCCCCACCTTTTCGTTCCTAGGACCTGTGATTCTCTTCAATTCATGGTGCTTTAAAACTCCTTGTTTCGTTACAATGCAAAGACAGACTGAAAACGCACCTTCAGGGGGTTCATGATACCCTTGGCCCTGAATGATTTCTTCAGTTCTCAAGAGCAGGAGGGAGGAATGACCGTTTACTGAGGGTACCTAGGTGCGAGATGTGCACTAGTTCAGAGGGTAAGGAATTAGCGTGAGGTCACACAGCTGGTGAACGGATCTGACTGACATTTAAGTCTGTGCCTAATGCCAGCCCCACAAGAAGTGAGAGAAAAAGTATACAGAGAGGGACCAGAGTGATAGCCCAGCGGGTAAAGCAGCTGCCCCACATGCAGCTGGCCTGGGTTTGAGCCCAGCTTTTCAAATGGTTCTTGAGCCCTCCTGGAGTGATCCCTAAGTGCAGAGCCATAAGTAAACTCTGCATCGAGAGAGAGAGAGAGAGAGAGAGAGAGAGAGAGAGAAGGGAGGAGTGAGAGAGAGGAGAAAGAGAGGAGAGAGTGGAGAGTGAGAGCAAAATATTATATTATTATAAACACAGTCACAACAAAATCTCCAATGGAGACGTTACTGGGCCCACTGGAGCAAATCGATGAACAACGGGAGGGCCGTTACCTTAAATATTATAAATATTAAATATTATAAATATTTAGCTAAAAATGATCAAAAAATGTTTCCTCGGAAGAAAGTGTGTAAATATTATTATTATATCGCATCATGGAGCCATTAAGCCCTTGTAGAAGAGATTATCAACACGATGTCAAAGATTAGCACTTATATATTTATATTTTCTTAATCGAGATTGGTTTGCCTTCTGCTTCACATTCCATCCGTGCTACTCCTGGTTTATCAGTGGTGTAGAGTTTGAGACATTGCTCCAGGAATTCAAAGATTTTGAATGGGGTGATGCAGATGGAGTTACATTTTTAACTGGATGGTGACTTTGGGTCGCCAGAGGGTTTTGACTATTAATTTAACTTTTTTTTGGTGCCCTGGTATAAACCTGTGCTACGAACCTCCCTCTTAGTTCCCCTTTTGCTGTCTTCAGTAGATTCTGGTAGCTGATGTCTTCATTCTTATTCATTTTCAGGAATCTTGTTTCTTCTTTGCCCAGTGGTTATTCAACAGCATGCATACTATTTTGTCTCCAAATATTTGAGTGTTTTTCCTTTTTTTTTTTTTTTGGATTTTTTGGGTCACAGTTGGTGCTGCACAGGGGTTACTCCTGGCTCTGCACTCAGGAATCACTCCTGGCGGTGCTCAGGGGACCATATGGGACGCCGGGGATTGAACCTGGATTGGCTGCATGCAAGGCAAACACTCTCCTTGCTGGACTATCGCTACAGCCCCTCCTGTTTGTTTTTTTTTTTCATGGTAAATTTCTACCTCCCTAGCCTTATGGTCTGAATCGAGACTTGATATTGATTTCTGTTCTAGTGACATGACGAACACTTGATGTAGTCTGAGTCAGAGAATGTTCCATGTGCACTGTAGGATTCCACATGGGAAACATATATTCCCTCAGCCCTTGGACCTGATGCATTCAGCTGTCCCAAAGAACACCAGCAAGAATGTCTTCTGGGTGAATTTCCAGATGTGGCCTCCCAGACCCAAGCCCGGACCCGAGTTCCAGAGGGATCTTCACTGTGGACTGCCTTTCAGCCCAGGAACAAACTCTCATCTACAGTAAGGGCAGATGTGGGGCCTGTCTAGAAGGGGGCTAGGGAAGGTCACAGTTATTGGGGCTCTTCCCACTGGTCATGCTGTTTGCTGAGGGAAGACCAAGACGTTCAGCTTCTAAAAATGAGAAAAAAATCGCTCTTACAGAACCTGGGGTAGAAAATGGGTCCAGGGCTGGAGTGGTAGTACAGAGGGTAGACACTTGCCTTGCATGATGCTGAGCCCCGAACTCGCCAGGAGTGACCCCTGAGCACTGCTGGATAGGACCCCCAAATATAACAAACAAACAAAAACCCCCAAGACACCGAGTTCCTCAATACTGACAGCCCAGCAAGAGAACACCAAATGAGACGGGAAAGCAACACAGAAGCCAACGAAACTCAACAAACAAGAACAATAACACAGAGGCTCACCTGGCACCAGACACATTCTGAGCACATTCTTCCACAAGGACTTTGCAACCCCATGATGAGATATAAACATTTGTATAATAAAAAAATTGTTCTTTCATACTTATTGATTTTAATATTGGAGTTTTGTTACCTAATCAATTTCAACTCTCTATATTAAAAGAAGATTTGGCTCTGTCCTCCCGTTGTTCATAGATTTGCTCGAGCGGGCCCAGTAACGTCTCCATTGTGAGACTTGTTGTTACTGTGTTTGGCATATGAATATGTCACGGGTAGCTTGCCAGGCTTTGCTGTGCGGGTGAGATACTCTCGGTAGCTTGCCAGGCTCTCTGAGAGGAGCAGAGGAATTGAACCCAGCTCTGCCGAGCCAGCCGTTTGCAAGGCAAACGCCTTATCGCTGTGCTATGGCTCCAGCCACTCCTGACAGCATAGTACTTTTAAATAAATTTTAAAAATTGGTAAAAAGAAAAGAAAATGGGTCCGGTCCCCTGCCTTAGGGATTTGGTGGTTCCCCCCCCCCCCTTTTTGGGTCACACCTGGCTATGCACAGGGGTTTCTCCTGGCTCTGCACTCAGGAATTACCCCTGGTGGTGCTCAGGGGACCATATGGGATGCTGGGAATCGAACCCGGGTCAGTCGTGTGCAAGGTAAATGCCCTACCCGCTGTGCTATTACTCCAGCCCCTGCCCTAGGGGTTTTGAACTGTGGCAGCGGGGAGGTGCTTCGAGGGTAGACAATTTGAAGGGTCTTTGCTTTTTTGCCTACTGAATTTCCAAGACGCCTTGGTGTCTGAGGAATTTGTGATACTTGGGCAAAGTCGATAGCACAGCGGGTAGGGCGTCTGCCTTACACGTGGCCAACCTGGCCGACCCGAGTTCAATTCCTCCGCCCCTCTCGGAGAGCCCGGCAAGCTACCGAGAGTATTCGATATGCCAGACACAGTAACAACAAAGTCTCCAATGGAGACGTTACTGGGCCCACTCGAGCAAATCGATGATCAACGGGAGGGCCTTTACTTACTTGGGCAAAGTCAGTGGCCTAGTTGCTTGTGACTAAAAAGGCCACTCCAGGAACTGCTCCCACTGTACATGTTGCCATGTGTTGTTCTCTATGGACACATGCACAGTTGAGAAGCATCTTCGATATTGCAGAGCTTGCATTCTGGTAGTTAGGACATTAGAGAACAACACAGAGCTAAAGAGATTACTCAGGTCCACACACACAAGCTCATCTTTCATTAAAAAAAAATGATCTGAATAACTGATACGTAAAACTGTTTCCTAGGTGCCTTCTGTTAATAGAGGGTCTCTCCGGGATGGGAGGGCAAAACCAGATGAACCCAAGAGGACTTTAGCTCTCGTGTCTGTGTTATTTATGGACATTGTGTTCTAGTTTCATAGATGGTCTTTTTGGCTTTTGGGCCACACCGGGGGTGCTCCGTGGTTACTCCTGGCTCTGCTCTCAGATCACTTTTGAGGGGCTCGGGGGACCATATGTGGGGCTGTATTGGACCCGGGCTGGCTTTGTGCAAGAGAAGCACCTTACCTGCTCTGCTATGGTTCCGGTCCCAGGACAATGGACGTTATAACGTGATCTCCTTTTACAAACGAACAGCACCCTCACCCTTTCCTCCCTGTAGGTCCCCCAGAAGTTGTACCACCTAAAACTTTGGGGGGCTGGTCTAGAAAAGCTGTTTTCTCAGGAGTTTTCTGCCCCTTTGCTTCTTCTTCCCACCAAAACCTGCAGAAACAGACGTTGGCCAAGCAGGGGTGCAGACACCCTGTGACCTGCAGTGACTAGGGGTGGGGTGGGGGGGTCCTTCCCAGTCAGTGTGGGTGGGGCAGGAGGACGGGGCGGGGGCTGGTGCATTACCTGCCAGGTACTCAATGACGGCTGCCATGTACACGGGGGCACCCACGCTGATCCGGTACTTGAATGTCCCTTTCTTGAGGTAGCGCATCAGCCTGCCCACCGGGAAGATGACCCCAGCTCTGGCTGACCGGGACAGCTTGGACATTTTCTTCTTCCCGCTCCGGCCCGACATCTTGCCTCAGTTTCCCTCTCAGCTTGCTGACCCACGGGCCTTCCGGCACAAACACTGTGCTGCAAAAGAAAGATGGTGGCGTGAGGGGGAGCTCCTGGCAAACATGCTGGCGGCAGGTGTGACCCCTGACCCGGGCACAGCTGAGAATTGTGCGGGCAGCTGAGAACTGACTGCCCCTGGAGGGCCCAGCACGTGGCCTGGTGAGCAGGGAGTGGGGCAGAGGGTCTTCCAGCAAAGTCCCCTACAAACATCTGCCCATCCACAGTGCCAGTCTTCCCCGACTGGATTGTTCAGAGGGACCGTCCCCTTTCCATGGTCGCTCCTCAGAGCACCTCTAGCCAGACAGATGGTCTATGGGCCACGCGCAGGCTTTGCATGTGTGGGCCCCGATTAAGTGACCAGCACCACATGGTCCCCGAGTACTTCCAGGAATGACTCACCTCGAACACAGAGTAGCCCCTGAGCACTGCTAGGTGTGGTCCCCAAACAAAGAAACAAGCAAACTCCCCACATCCCTAGCACATGTCACCTATGGGTGGGGGGAGGAGGCGGAGGGGAAGAAAGGGACTTTGCAGATGAAACTACAGATCTTGAGGTGGGAGGCCTAACAGCACTGTGGGTATCCTTTCCTCATCGATTTGCTCGAGCGGGGCCCAGTAACGTCTCCGTCGTGAGACTTATTGTTACTGTGTTTGGCGTATCGAATACATCACGGGGAGCTTGCCAGGCTCTGCCGTGGGGGCGAGATACTCTCAGTAGCTTGCCGGGCTCTCCGAGAGGGGCGGAGGAATCGAACTCCGGTCGGTCAAGCTGGCCGCTTGCAAGGCAAATGCCCTACCGCTTTCTTTTTAAATTTTTTTAAATTGAATCACTGCGAGACAGACCATTACAAAGCTGTTCATGATTGGATTTCAGTCATACAGTGTTTCAACACCCATCTCTCCAAAGCGTCCATTTCCCAGTACCAGTGTTCCCAGGTTCCCTCCCATCACCTCCTAACGCCGTGCTTTCCTTCTCTTCTTGGGCATTGTGGTTTGCAACACAGATACTGAAAGGTTATCATGCAGTGATCATTTCCAACTACCATTGTCATACTGGTCTCTTTTTTCTTACCTACCCTGTGTAGGTAAGGAGGAGGCCAGGAGGGCTCAATGGATGCTTAAGAGATGCGATGAAGGAAGAAAATCACTTCTCTCAGCTTCCAGCAGCAACCCAGCCCCTCCCTGGAGTGACACTGGCTTTGAACTTCTGACCTCCAGCACTGCCAAGGACATGCTTGCACCGTTTTAAACTGCTAAACTTAGGGATTCGTTGTTATAGCAGCAAGGAGTGGCATCCTCTTTGCCCCGATTTGCTTCTGTCTATTTTAGTACTTGGCATGAGGTTACTATAAATGACCCAGTCTGTGCCTATTATATTGTCAGCGCTGATTGGGCCACTCAGAGCTGGCGCGTGTGCGATTCTCAGATGGAAACATTTTCCTAAACTCCGCTGTGATGCGGCATTCTTAAAAAAAGGTGGGTTTATAGAATAGGCAAATGAAGAATAACCAGGTGTAATAAATTAAAAAGTCGCAATACCATCTGAGCTTTTGCTCTGTGGGATAGGGAATTTTGATTGGTTTGGGGGAAAGCTTCTGGAATCAGCAGAAAGAAGTAATATAGAAAAGGCACCCAGGCACAGAATGTAATTCAGTGTTATTTCAGGAAGGTTTTGTTTTTTTTGGGGGGTGGTGGGGAAGGGAAGTGGGAGAGAGTGGAGGCCACACCCAGCTGTATTCAGGGCTCACTTCTGACTCTGTGCTCAGGGGTCATTCCTGGAGGAGCCCAGGAGACCGAATGGGATGCTGGGGATCGAACCCAGATCACCAGTGTGCAAGGCACCTTTCCAGCTGTACTATCACTCCAGCCCACTTCAGGATTTTTTTATTATGAAAAAGATAAAGGAATTCTGTGGGGTCCAGAAAAGTCTCTGAAAGGCTAAAACGAATCCAGAGAATTGTATTTGAATGGTTGAAAGGGTATTATGAATTTCTTTAAAAAGGGAATATAATCGGGGCTGGAGCGATAGCACAGCGGGTAGGGCGTTTGCCTTGCATGCAGCCAACATGGCCGACACAGGTTCGATTCCCAGCACCCCATATGGTCCCCCGAGCACCGCCAGGAGCAATTCCTGAGTGCATGAGCCAGGAGTGACCCCTGAGCATAGCCGGGTGTGACCCAAAAAGCAAAAGAAAAAAAAAAAAGGAATATAATCCTGAGTAAGCAAATTAGAGAGGACAAAAAGGACCACAGAAAAGGAAGCAGAAATTTTCTAGCAAATGCATTAATGAATCAAATTACTGTGTCTATTGGTAGTGCTCCGTGGCTATTTCCTTTGCGGATGGAAAGTGAAAAATTGAAAAATAAATCAAGGCTACCACCTCCACCTCTGCTTTTGGCCTCATGAGCTTATCCATACCCAAAACGGTGAGGACGTGGCCTAACAAAGTGGCTGAAAATATAATGAAAGAAACGGCTAAATGAAAGGCAAAGATAAGAGACACAAAACCAGGATTTACTTAACTGAACGGGAGACTGAAATAGAGCACAATTGTGTGAAGTATTGATCACTCTGTGATGATTGAGGAGTTTTATATATATATGGAATTGACAATGAACCAATGAACCTTATTCTTTTTTTTTTAAATTTTATTGAATCACCGTGAGATAGTCGCAAGCTTTCATGTTTGGGTTACAATCACACAATGATCAAACACCCATCCCTCCACCAGTGCACGTTCCCCACCACCAATATCCCCGGTATAGCCCCCCTTTCCCACCCTCCCTCTGCCTCCATGGCAGACATGATTCCCCATAATCTCCCTCTGCTTTTGGGCATTATGGTTTGCAATACAGACCCTGAGAGGTTATCATGTTTGTTCCTTTATCTACTTTCTGCACACATCTCCCATCCCAACTGATTCCCCTAGCCATCTTTTTCTTAGTGATCCCTTCTCTATTCCAGCTGCCTTCTCCCTTTGCTCATGAGGCAGGCTTCCAGCTATGGAGCAGTCTATCTGTCCCGTGTATCTACTATCCTTAGGTGTCAGCCTCGTGTTATGTTGTTTTATATTCCACAAATGAGTGCAGTCCTTCTATGTCTGTCCCTCTCTTTCTGACTCATTTCACTTAGCATGACATCTCCATGTCTATCCATTTATAAGCAAAGTTCATGACTTCATCTCTCCTGACAGCTGCATAGTATTCCATTGTGTAGATGTACCAAAATTTCTTTAACCAGTCATCTGTTCTAGGCGCTTGGGTTGTTTCCAGATTTTGGCTATTGTGAACAGTGTTGCAATGAACATACAGGTACAGATGTCATTTTTACTGTGCTTTTTTGTATCCTCGGGATATATTCCCAGAACTGGTATTGCGGGGTCATATGGAAGGTCAATTTCTAGTTTTTGAAGGACGATCCATATTGTTTTCCAGAAAGGCTGGACTAGTGGACATTCCCACCAACAGTGAAAGAGTGTCCCTTTTCTCCCACATCCACGCCTGAACCTTAATCTTAAAACCCTCAAGCTCTGAGATAAAAGATGGGAGTTTGAGGCATTTTATTATCCTGTCCATATATATTTTTACATTTCCTTTTTTTTTCCTTTGCTTTTTGGGTCACACCCGATGATGCTCAGGGGTAACTCCTGGCTCTGCACTCAGGAATTACTCCTGGTGGTGCTTGGGGGAACATATGGGATGCTGGGAATCGAACAGGAATGGCCCTCAAATAAAGCAAAACAAAAATGTCCACTTTGGGGGTCCTTTAATTTAGGTTTTTAAATTTAGTTCTTCTACATCCTTAAACACATTGGTGAAATCATACAAAATTATCATCTTTTTGACTTATTTTACTTTGTCTAATTTCTTCAACTTCCTCCCATTTTGTAGCAAATGGTAAAATTTCACCTGCTTTTAAAAACAGAAAATAGTATTTCAGTGTACCACATACTCCAGTTTTGTTATTCAGTCATTTATCAACAGGCACTTTCTTTGCTTCCATATTTCAGTTATTGCAAAAGGGAATAAACATGGCATTGAACACAACTTTTTTTTTTTAACGTAGGAGTACTGCTATTTATTCAGCCACTGATTAGCTGATTGAATTGGGCATGAACTCCACCTTACTTTTTTTTTCATTTTTTATAATTTTATTTATTGAATCACTGTGAGAGCAGTTACAAAGCTTCCGGGTCTAAGTCTCGGTCATACAATGAAACCCCCGTACCTTCACCAGTGCCCATTCTCCACCCCCAACAACCCCAGTAGACCCCCCCTCCCACACCCTCCCCCTACCTGTGGGGCAGAAGATTTCCACATTACTCTCTCTCTACTTTGATCACATTCAATATTTCGACACCAGACCCACCATTATTATCTGAGATTTTACCCCAACACTCAGACCTGCTGAAAAGGCAACAGGAGACAATTTGTGTTCTATTGCTGGTTATGAATAACACATGATGTCGTGTGGCTGCAGGAAGGCCATGTGATTTTGAAATTCTGAAATTTTAACACTTAAATCTGGAGGGATTTCTGTCAAAAGACACTGGGTTTTGAAATTTGTTTCTGAGTCTCTGGGATTATGGCCGTTGAGCAGCTTGATCAGGAGCCAGAGAGGCCGTTCATGGGCGATGACTTGGGGTCTCGTTGGGGTGGGGAGGAAAGGCCCAGCTCCACCCCATTCCGTGAGGCCCTGCGTGTCTCGTCACTGGGGGCCCAAACCTGACTGTCCAGTGGCTTCTGAAGGATGGCGGCCACCGGGCCACCCGGGGGAACAGGCCAAGGCACGAAACCTATTCCCACCTGGGTTGGCCCAGCACCGGTAACCTACTTCAGGGACCGGACGCATTTATGCCAAAAGCCATTGGGTTTCCAGATTTGTTTCTGAGTCTCTGGGATCATGGCCATTAAGCAGTTCAGTCAGGAACCAGAGAAGCCATGCCTCCAATTATATAGCTGAGCCAGAGGTGGTTTGTGGGTGTGTTTCCCACATACCTAACTTTTGGCCGTTTACT